ACCGAGGGAGGAACGGGGGGCGTGGGCCGCGGCCAGCGCGGGACAAAGGGCGCCAGCGAGGCGGGTGGCGGGAAGGTCACGTGGGTGGCGGCGGGGAAACCGGAGCCGGTTCCGCCGTGCGGGGAGGGGAGGAAGGGAGGGCCGGGCCCAGCCGAGCCGAGCCGAAGGGGGCGGCCGCGACTGGTGTCACTTCCTGCCGCCCCGCTCCCAGCGCCGAGGGCACGGCAGGGAGGGGAGGGCGGCTGCTCTCCGCCGCCATCTTGGCGACCTTCACGTGATGCGCGCCCGGGCCGCGATTGGGCCGCGGGCGGGGCGGGGTCGGGCGGCGACCGGCGCGCGAGGCCCGGCGTGACCCGGTGGCGCCCCAAGGTGACTCGAGTGACCTTCGCGACGGTCCGGCACCGGACGGGGGCTGGCAAGTCTGTCGGCCTAACGTGGCTGTCTCAGACGACTCCCGCCCGCAGGCCCCGCTCTGTCAGTAAAGGCTCTCTCCTCTGTGTAGGCCCGATGTATTTGTCGTGATGTATGTGTATTATACTTGCCCTTTTACCTCACAGAGTCAGTTAGGTTGGTAAAGATCTCAGATCATGAAGCCCAACCTAACGTCGCCATTTAAACTAGACTGTGGCACGAAGTGCCATGTCCAGTCTTAAACACGTCCAGGAACGGTTGCTTCACCATCTTCCTGAGCAGTCCATTCCAACGTCTAATCACTTTTTGTCTGAAAAAATTCCTCCCCTATTTCCCCATAAACGTTCCATGGCACAGCTCGAGGTTGTGTACTCTTGTCACTAGTTGCCTGGGAGAAGAGGCTGGTCCCTACCTTGGTACAGTTTCCCTTGCTGTAGTTGCAGAGGAATTGCTTGCAGCTGTCCGTTCATGTTTTGGCAAGTCCTGATTTCTGAGAAACTTGAAGCAATTTTAAGCCTTTTCCTTAATACCAACAATGGGCATTCAGAATTAACAATTTTGTTTTATAGTAGAAGCAGCTTTCAGCCCAGCTGCAGCGTAGACCTGTCAAGGCAAGTGATCAATATTTGTATGTTTATTTGCAGGTGCAACATGCAAGTAAACAGATTGCTGCTGATAAGCAGTACAAGGGTATCATCGATTGTGTAGTGCGTATTCCAAAGGAACAAGGAGTGCTGTCTTTCTGGAGAGGAAACTTGGCAAATGTCATCAGATACTTCCCAACTCAAGCTCTTAATTTTGCCTTCAAGGATAAGTATAAGCAGGTGTTTTTGGGAGGTGTAGACAAGCACACTCAGTTCTGGAGGTATTTTGCTGGTAACCTGGCATCTGGTGGTGCAGCTGGAGCCACTTCCCTCTGCTTTGTCTACCCCTTGGATTTTGCAAGAACCCGTTTGGCTGCTGATGTTGGAAAAGCTGGCGCAGACAGAGAATTCTCTGGTCTCGGGGACTGCCTAGTCAAAATCACCAAGTCTGATGGTGTGCGTGGCTTGTACCAAGGGTTCAATGTCTCTGTCCAAGGCATCATCATCTATAGAGCTGCCTATTTTGGGATCTATGATACAGCAAAAGGTAATATTTCAGAGGGGATCTGAAAAACTTGTTTCTAGAATTGTATTGTCTGGTTTTGGATATATGAAGGTGAAGGGGAATATCAGTGTCATGCATGTGGCAAGTATACAAGGGAAAACTTGTGCATGCATTGATGGCAACAGCCTACTAATTACTGGTTTTATACTTTTAAGTAGTGGCTCCTTAGGTCAGGAAAGTATGTTGGTGACCAGACACAATTAGAATAATTTATTTTTTGTTCAGTGAATGCTTGAAGTTACACTGGACCAGTGTGTTTAAACAAGTGTGTTTAGCAGAATGGGATTGAGCAGTGCTTTTGCAAGGTAATTTTTAAGCTTGATATTTGGGCAAATAAGCCATTGATGCTAGTTTGTAGTTTAATGTTATCCACAGGGACAGTGACTTAATTTAGTGATGTTTCTTTACTAAAATGTAGTGAATAGTCTAGTCTTCTCATGCCAGTCTAAAAAGAATGCTTGTGCCTAAATGATAACCTGTTTTATTTCCTGAGAAGAAAGTCTTCTAAATATGGCTTTGGTATGTTTCAAGTTTGTGAAGTGTTTTGCTGCAGTTTTATTGAGAGTATGGGTCTACAGTGTTTCATACTACTTCATCTAGTAAAATAGCTGTCATGCAATGAGTGAACCAGAGGAGTATGTGCAAGGTAAAAAGCTAATTGCCTTTTTTGTTTTACTACAGGCATGCTCCCAGATCCCAGAAATACTCACATTGTTATCAGCTGGATGATTGCCCAGACAGTGACTGCTGTGGCCGGCGTGGTCTCCTATCCTTTTGATACAGTGCGGCGTAGAATGATGATGCAGTCAGGACGCAAAGGAGGTAGGCTGTAAATCCACAGAGCTGCTTATGCTGTTAAAACAGCATTAATAAGATGGAGTTCTTTTTTACTAGTAGCCATCCTCAACAGTTACAGTTCATTGTTCCGTAAATCTGGTTTATTATAATGTACTCAAATGAGGAACTGCAGTAAGGCTCAACTTGAGATTGTCAGGATTTATGCTGAGGGCTTTTCATTATGAAACATGAAGTTAAAAAAAAATTGACTGCCTGTTTGCATTGTTAGATTAAACAGAGGTATTAAAAATATATATTTAATATAATATTTTTAGTGAGTGTTATGTTACAGTTTTAAATTCAGGTTTGGGAGATCACAAAGCAGTTAAGTGAAACAAGGCAGGTGTTAAAATTATCTGAGATAAAATAGGAATTAATAACTCTTCGCTCTTTTTCTGCAGCTGATATCATGTACTCCGGAACAATTGACTGCTGGCGGAAGATTGCAAGGGATGAAGGAGGAAAGGCCTTCTTCAAGGGTGCATGGTCTAACGTTCTCAGAGGCATGGGGGGTGCTTTCGTGCTTGTGCTGTACGATGAATTCAAGAAAGTAATTTAAACAGCCTAAATAGAATTGGAAATCAAGTTGAGCAGATCATGTAGAATAACTACCATTATGGACCATTGACCTTCAAGAAATTCCTGTGAGTCTTATTTATCGGAGCCAGATGATACTTCTAGATGGGGCTAGAAACTGACATAGAGGACTGATCCACTTCTCTGTAACATGCATGAAGACACTGAATCGGGCAATTCAGTGCAGCAATTTTTCTTTACAGCAGTAAGGAATGAGTGGCGTTGGTTCTGGGTCCAAAGTTGTTAGGTCCAGTTTAGGCAGAAAAAAATCATTTGCCTGTGGATCAGTCTCCGGTTTCAAGTCCTATCTTCTAGGACCATAAAATTGTATTTGAAAGCATTTGCTAACAAATCATGTTCTTTTCCACTTGTACTGAAGCACTATGTACCATTTTGCACAGCTGAACATCTAGCAACTTTGTTCTTAAATTGGGGCATTCTGCTGTAAAACAATAAACATACTTACTCGGTCTGTGTTGAAATTATTACATAAAAGCTTTGGGAAAGCCTCTTGTATTTGAAAATTTATTTCAGATAATGGGTCCTCTGATACCCTTATACTGCATTCTGTAACAAAATATGCTTTTTAAAAAATAATTAAATGTGAGATCTTTAGAGAGGAGGGGTGGGGAAAGCATGGGTTATATTAATAGAAACCACCCCCATTCTTTGTGCCTGATAGTGTATGATGGACTGCTGCAAGTGGCTTTTTGCATGATTCTTAGAAATTGATTTACAACTTCTATGATTTAAAACTGGGGGAGGGTTCAGTTGTAGTGCTAGGAAAACCTGAAGTACCAAGGACTGTCAAAAAGTAATGCTCTTGCCCTTGGTAAAACAGCCTAAAAATTATTTTTTTTTGTTAAACTGGTATGGAAAGCATCATGGTATTCATGCAAAAACCCAGTAACCCAGTAAATGCCTTCAACTTCTGAGTGACCTATGTATTGTATTGTTGCTGCTGGTTGGAAGTGTTGATTGTGCCATTCAAGGTACGGTTTGGCCTCATCTGTAGCAGTGGTCAGTAGCTCTGTGGAAGGTTGAATTTAATCTGAAATGAGTTGCAGTCTAATAGATGAAGTTGAAGGGGTGTGGGGAGGGAATGTGTGTGCTTCTGTGTAGCTGTAAAATAATCAAAGTAGGTCAGCTTTCAGTGTTAACTGACTGATGTTTAGAGATGGTCAGAAGACCAGATCGAGTAATTTCTCATAACTGCTCTTTGAGATAATGTAATACCCACATGCTGTTCTTCATATGTATATAATCTTTTGTATTTTGTAATCTGCAAAGACACGGTAGAGGGACCAGTAGAGGAAAACAAGGTGTTAATCATGTTTTAAGAACTCCCCCTATATCTTGAGAAATGAAAACTATCATTGTATGACTCATTGAAGGCTGACTGAGCTGTCTTGAGTTCTTCTGTGTGCCTTCTGAGATTGCGATTCAAGATGAAATATTTAAATTACGTGCTTGGCTTTGGCTGGTTATTACCTTCCTCTCGAGCGTACTTTACCTTTTTCCTTTCACTGTTGCACAAGCACCACTTTCAGCATCTGTATATGAATGTAAGGACATTACACAGCTACTTTGTACACATGCTAATGGCAAACTTCATGTTCCTACTGCAAGTGGTTCTTAAATCCTGTGTGGCAGTGGCAGCTCCCTGTGGTGCAGGCAGGTCATTTGGTGTTAACCGTGCCAATCAATTTGCTGGGGAGCAGGGGAAGACATTTTGTCTATATAAACATATTAATCAGGTTTCTTTCTGTATCAGTGCCTTGCAAGGGTAGAGATAATGATGGGATACCTCCCTGTGAGTGTACGGTGGCCCAAGCTTTGTGAGGGAAACCAAATGTGGTAGTTAATTCAGCAGCTTGATAGGGACAGGACTTTTACACCCAATCTCCCCTTCTGAACAAGGTTTAACCAAAAGAAATAGGGCAAGAAACAAATGCAAGTGTAGGTGTTTAAGTGGAACTGCAATTTCCCTAAGCTGTACATTCAATATGAACTAATTTGTGGTGTTCAGATTTATTTTTTTTTTTAATATATGGCTTCCCCTAGTCATGCAGCAGCAATTTCCAATGTGTAATGCAGTTTAGGGATGTAAGAGGCAAACAATAAATAAGACTTTTAAAAAAAAATGCATTTGTTCTCTGTCTTATTGAAACACTCTGAAATTCATTAATTTTGAAAATTATGAACAGGAAAATATCCAGCATTTTTAAAAGAAAATACTGGCATCTAAAGCCTATATTATTTTTAAAGGCATTGGAAAAAACATTTGCACCCTTTGAAGGGAGAAAGAGAGAAACTAAAAAGTCATTTTTGAGGAAATTGTACATTTAAAATCTAGCTATTAAATGCTAGATTTTATATAATTTCTCACAACTGTTATATTGTTTTGAAGACTTTAGATGCTATTTGTGTGAATTAAGTACACACTAAAACTGTACAGGATCACAGTGTTGCAGAGGTCTATTTACAGTGGCAGTACTGAGCTCATGAAATGGCTGACTGACAGACCAGTATTAATAGTTAGCAATTAACAAGTATGATTTTATTTTTCCCTTTTGTCTTGCATAAGATTAGTTGCATTTATTGGGATAGTTTGGTGTACTGGTTGGAAGAGCAAAGAGAAAATTTAAATACTAAGAAGCTGGTTTGTGCTCTAGAAAATAACTAGGCATATAAAAATTACGGTAAAATTGCTGTGGCATTATGCAGCAAGCCTGTCAGCCTACAGGAAATCACTATTAACGAGAGGAAAGAAGCTTCATAGCAATGATGACCAGAGGTAACAGCTTTATTCTGGATAAGAGGGTTTGTTTCACACTGTGAAGAACCTCTTAGCGAGGTTTAAGCACTTCTTCAAAGCAGGTCCTTGCAGAAAAGCTTTGTTGCCAGGCGTTGCAGGTTTGAACAAAGGGAAAAGAACGAATTTCACTGATTTTTATCCTTTTTTTTAAAATAAATCCATTTTAAGTGGATTTGAGGGGACAAACAGTTTTACAGGTGATTATATTTTATAGGTTGGTTTGAAGTACTTGTCAGCAGGATCCATAATTTTCTTTCATGTTGGGGAGTCAGGTGTGTTTTTGGAAAGCTGGATCATCCTTCCATTGTAGTTATTTCCTCAGTATGACTTTTTGTTGGTAAATTTACGTATTCTGTCTAAAGAGAAAGAAAATTTGGTACCATGCAGTAAGCTACAAGTTGGTATCATTCTGAACATTAGTTTCAGCAGTATCAAAGGCTTGGTCTTTCAGTACTTAATAAATGATTGCAAGGCAGGAGAAAACAGTTTTAAGGATAGTTAAAGAATGCTTCAGTGGGTCTGATCAGTACTAGCTGTCAGCAGGAGAAAGAGCAGAAGCTGATTTAGACACTGGACACCCTTAGCTGAGACAATAGAAGGAATTAATTCAGTCAGTATTGCCTGAATTTTCCATATTGTCTAGACGTGTAGATAAAATATTTTGGTTGGTATTGCACATTTTAACATTGGCTAACCTGGAGTTCCAGGAGAGAGCATGCTGCTAGGTAAGATCGTCGTACTCAGAGAGCACTTGGAGTTTAAAGTTTTGAGGGAAGATAAATAATTCAAGAAAAAAAACCCCAAATACAATAGTACAGGTAGGGGAAAAAGGTTAAAAAAGCGAGCTTGCTGTCATACTGAGGGTATATTTCAGAGCATCAAACCAGGGTGTCCTGTGGGCTTTTTTCCTAGGAAAGCTGAAAAATGGGTAAAGCACTGCAGGGCTTTGTGGTCATGGTGTTTTGGGCTACTTTACTGTTCTCCAAGGAAAATGCACAACGAGTGTGTCCTGCAAGTTCTTGGGGTATATTTAACTCCAGGCAAGAGGTGATGAAACTCAGTAATGGTGAGGAAAGCATATGGGGAGAGAATGCCTAACTAGAAAGTCAATTGTCTGTAGTAAGATGAGTAAAATAAAATGGATTAGAGGAGTGCAAGTTGTCTGATGTACTGAATGATTTGGTTGGTGGGATCATAAAGCAAATAAAATTGGCAGTTCTTTAACATGAGTGTTTTAAGGATGCAGTGCAGCAAGTTAGTTTTTTTGAATCACGAGCTTTTTCAGCAATATAAGGAAAAATATTGTGTAAGGAGAAAAGAATGAGAAAATGTGAAAGGCCATTGTGTAATTAGAGGCAAATTGAGGAAATGCAAGCTTTTAAAAGACGTGATTAGCAAAGGATATTTGAGGTTTCAAAATAGCTCAAAAATCCGTTAACACTAAATGTCAGGGAGAGTGTTTGGTATTCAGTGGAGGAGAGCTTTCGAAAATGTGCTTTTTTGTACTTTATTATTATTTTAATAACTTGGAAGAATTCCGAGCATTCAATCAGTGTTAAAGCTACTGAGTTTGGAGAGAAGAGGTAAAATAAAATTTGGTTTTAAGAGTAGATCAAACTGTTTAAACATGTCATAATCATATGAATTATCTTCACAGCAGCAGTTGGGAAGTGTGAGTTAACATGAGGGCTTCACTTAACTCTGGCAACTGCTGCTGCTACATTGCTCCCTGCATGGAAGTGCCGCAGTTTACAGACCTCATCCACAAAGGCCTGTGGATTGCAGTGGAGTGATTTGAGTGTGTTTGGTAGTATATGCACAGGAATTTGGAAGGCACTCAAAAACTCACACTTAGGAAAAGCAAGCAATCAGTATGCAATTTTCCAAAAACTGCTTGTTACTTTCCTAGCTATTATTATTTAATATGATGGACTGTGGACTGCTGCTGCTCTGTAGCCTTAGCTCTGGCAGCCTGATAGGAAGTGAGATACCAGGAATTCATGACTTAAGGAATGAATGAGGAAACCTATCTAAGTCACATTCCTACCTGCTTTCTATGAAAGCCAAAGGTGGTAGGACCAAAGACAAATTAATCAAGATGACAAGCTGGTATATAGTTACCAAAACTAGAGTTTTAGTAGTCAGAGATTTGGGGATTCTTTGTAAATGATTGAATGAAAATTCCACTTCTGGAATCCTCATTAGAGTGCATGGTGTTGCCCACTGAATTTTAGGCAACTAATGACTAGCCTGATTTACTGACTTCTATTATGTCTTTGCTTTAACCAGCTGAGAGAAAGTGTTCCCTCACTGTGCAATCACCATACAAACCACTGCTCAAATGGATGGATTTGAGAAGCAGGAATGGTTTGAAGCCTGTTTGTTGTGATGTCTGCAGAAAGAGGAGTTACTTGCTGTTGACAGTGTGCAGGTAAGATACTGTGAAGAGGAAAGAAGTAAGGGTAAAAAGTAATGGATTCTAAGTGCATTAAACCAAGCTATTAAAAAGGCTTTTTAAAAGTAAGGCTAAATAAACATGCAGAATAGGCTGTGCAGGGATGCTACAGTATATTGGTCAAATACAATTTGCACAAGACACTGAAATTGCAAATCCTGTGTTGAAGCAGGAGGAAGGTTAGTTTAAGTCTTTGCAGCCCTTAGTGATTTGCACTAAGTGTGATGGGATTTTTACATGGGTATAGGTCAGGCTTATGAAATATATATTCACATTATATTTTGACCATTGATGTTTGAAAACGCTAATGGAAAATGCATCCTCACTTAGGTTATTTTTGAAGTATGAGCAGCAACCTTGCAAAGCTGGTACACACAGAAATTACATGTCTCAGTAAAAGTGAAAAGTCTGGTCTTAAAGTACATCTGCAAATGCCTCCAGGATGATCTTTTGTTTTAGTGTTGGCATAGAGCATTTCATGTTTCAAAGCAGCATAGTTTGTGTGACAGAAATTAGTTTTGGACCAAAGGTTAACATTTTTATAAGTCAGTTCTAGTCTTTGGCCTGGTGTGGTTTGTAGTTAACAAATTTAACTGAATTGAGAAGAAATCATACCTGGATAACATCATCAGTTAATGCATTGAATTTGTCTCTTGGTTGTGGTATGGGAGGAAATATGTTCTTGAAACTGCAGTACCTTTGGGTAGAAAATGGGATTGTGGATAAATTGAAAATACAGCTAATATAACTTACACAAACATTTTGTGTTGTAATTTAAGGACATTTTTTACTTTCAAGATTGAATATCTATTGCTTTATGAATAAATTGAGAAATAAAATATTTTCTGTGGGGTAACTGGTGAGAAAATGTTACACTTAGCATTTGGGTTATTAAATTTTCTTTTGTGATTATAATCACAGTAAATATGTTATTAAGAAATTACTTTGAATAAATGACATGCCATAACTTTCACCATTGAGTGAGAAGTTTCATGAAAATGTGCTGATTTGGATTCCATCTTGTTGGGTACTATATACAGCCAATGGCTTCAAAGCAACCTGGATGTTAAATGCTTAAAAGTAAGAACAAAAAAAGCTTTTGTAGGATCTGGTAGAATCAATCACTTAATAACTTCAACATCCTTTCCCATTTAGGAATTTTGCATGTCAAAGGGCCATCCACAGCAATCCTGGTGGTAATAGTTCATGACACTGATGGTCAGATTATTTAAATTTGCATATAGGAAAGTAGGAGGTTGGAGGAATGAGATTCATATAGATAATACTCTGTCAGTAGTGTCTACAGAAAAAATGTTGGTTTACCTTTTGAAAAGACAATACAGAAGAAGTGTAATTGAGATTGTTCCCAGTGCAATCAGAAATAAAATCACAAAAATAAAGTAATCTTTCCCTTGACCTGAAACAGCCAAGAGAGAGAAATATTTTAGCAAGTTGAAAAGCTGCCTTTGTGACTGTATGATGTAATGAATGTGAATTTCACTACATTTTTTGAATGCCCTAAAGGACTTCAACTTGACTTCCTTAGAGAATTTTGTCAAAAAATGCAGATGGACTTGATACATTTTAAGCCTTTTCAAATATTTAAAATTTAGAGAGTTAAAATTTATAGAATTTTTAAAAAATTCTGGAAAAAGAGAAGAATAAACAGAATTACAGAACAATTAATAGAACAAAATTAATGGAAAGGGTGAAAAGAAAGATGCAGAAGGGTATGATGTGTGTGGTTAAAACTTAAGAGAACTGAGAGGCAGCCTCATCACAGCAGACCAAAGACAAGAGTGGGTCTGTCTCAGTCTGTTTCTGTAGCCCTTGCATCTAAGTAACTGCTGCCTTCACAATCCCAGCTAATCAAAGGCTCTGCTGCCAGAGTATTGGAGCTACTCCTCCACGATAATAAAACCCACCCAGCTCCTTCCATGTAATTGGGTAAAAATTAAGATTTTATTCATTTCTGTGACTGTGAGGAAGAAAGGGAAGTAAACAAAATAATACTGAAAAAAAAAAATAAATTCACAGTCTTACCAAACTCAATGGGTTCACTCCATTCCCCCCAATTTGAGCTTACAAGACAGTGTTTTCCACGTGCTCTGATTTTCAGAGTGTATCTTTTTTTCTCATTGTAATTTTGGAATTCATATCTGTCATTCCTTACCTAAAAGGAAAGTGATCAGACTCTACATTTCACATTTCACCTCATAGGCAGTTGTTAACAAAGTTTTTGGGTAAATTTCCTGATACAGTTTCTATAAAAAAATAATTTGTGTGATTTTTTTTAGGCATGTTCAATCTTGCCAGCAAAACTCTCTGGTCTTTGAAGGTTAAAATTTTTTTGAACTTCATTTTGTCTTTAATTTCTTTTATTATGCTTTATAGACACTTTTTTGTTTTGTGTCCTTGTTTGTGGACCCTAAAGAAATCTGAAAGACACAAAGCAGAATTTGAAGTACCCTGTAAACTCCCCTTGCAACCCTGATGGGAATTAAACAGACATGGATGGTGTCTGTCATTGCTGAAAAGATTACATGTACTTGAGACAATACAATATTTGGCCTCATGATACTTTATACAAATCCTGGAATCTGTCAAGCCCTTCCAAGGCTTAGAAGACCACTCATTTGTTGAGGGAAGACTGACAGTATTTATTATATTCCCTAGGATTCTTGTACTCCCTTTGCCTAGCTGTCCTGAGCTAACAATGTGAAAGAGTGTTTCATATTTTCAGTAAGCAAAATGTCACACCTGTCAGAAACAAAATCTATTTGTGCAATAGATGGAATGTATGAAGTTTTGTGAAATGAGTGGAAAATTTTGCCTGCCCCATCCAAAGGGGATGTATTAAATTTACACTTAAAGATATCACAGGAACATATTTTCCTGAAATCTCATTGCTACATTGATACAAAACCTGTAGTTCTAGAAGTAAGTGTATTTTCTGTAATGGTATTTATGTGTTTAAGTAGGCAAACCCACAAATTTGTATGTGACAAGAATACTTACACGATGAAGCTTTTTCTCTTCTTTGGGTTCATCCTGCAAAACAAAGACTTAATTTTTATTATTTTCTTATCAATCAAATATTTCTCTATTTTTTTCTCATTTTCTTGCTTTTGAAGATCATAAGTTATTTTAAACTGAAAAGTCAGTCAGATATTATTCTCCAGTAATGTCCCAGAATAACAGCATTTTATGCAGAGTTTTGTCTTTCTACATTTCCATTTTATTTATCAGTAGATGTGAGAAGTTGTATTTACCACTAGGGGTACTTTTATAGGCACTATGCGTTCTCATCCATATCCAAATTACGCAAGCAATCACATCATTCTGCAAACACGGCAGATCTGGAAGCTGTGATTTCACAATAGTTTGCTAAGCTGGGGCAGAAAATTGATGTGAATAGCAAATTTACCCTCCTTCCAGTCAAAGTCTCTGTTAGATTGATTCATGCTCAGGGGCTTTCTCTGAAGAGCTACTTACACATCTATGCTGTCAAAATTTAATTAACTGGAATCAAATCAAAAACCTGAATCAAAGAACCTGAAAATTCTGAAGGAAAGTATAAGTTCAAAAATGAGTGAACAAATTCAACAGCAGTGAGTTTTAGTGATGATTTCAGAAAGCACTGAAAAGCTGAGGTCCTGGAAACATCTATCACATGTAATATCAGAATAGCCAGCATTATGGAAAAGTCAGAAAGGCATAACAGAAGGAATGTCTCATTACAGAAAACACACCCACAGTGCGTCTTGGATTATAAAGCAGACTATAGTGCTTATATACACTTATAGACTGTATATAAAACAGGGTGTAAACAAGTTGCTTAAACTTCAGATGTGTACTGCTGCTTTAGCTGTCTTACCTCTGTTGGCCCTCCAGGAAGGTGTGATTTCTAGCTGCCATCTCCATGTCAGTACTTCTGGTACCTTCAGCACCTCAAGGGCTGTGAGACACCTACTGCTCCACAGCAGGGAGCCCTAATGTACACTGACCCTTAGGAGATAATCCTGCTCCTGTGCAGACACCTACATTAAGGTGTTTCACTCTAGGAATTGAATTTCCCACACAAATGTAGAAATCTACACTGAACCCCACACATTCTGACTGTGGCAGAGGAAACAAGAGTTAACATGTATTTCTTTCAAATAAACCTTTCGACAATACTGCTATGTTGTGATTTATATCTTTCTGTAAAACTTTGTAAGTACTTCACACAAGATCTTACTGTCAAATTATACCAACCAGCTGGAAAGCTGCATATACTGCAATTGCTCCTTGAACCAATAGGTACCAAGATAGATACTATTAATATGTGAAAGATAAAAAATCCAGATAATCCAAACAGCCTGCAAGCCATTGGTCTTTTTTTTAAATAAACAAATGAGATTTAATGATGTCTTGCTTTATTACAGTTGTGTAGTTATGTTTAACCCTTAGCTGATCTTTCCTGTAATGGTCTTGTGGCTAAGCAATTGCTACTATGGTAAGATTCTGAGCTGCAGAAGTTCATGAGAGGTGGGATATGAGATCAGCAAAACTGGAGCAGGAGGACACCACAGCTTATTAGAGAAAAACTGACAAATAAAGAAGTCAGAAATTTACCCATTATAGATATTCATGAGCATAGGTTCAGTACCAAAGACAAACCAGGAAATTGTTTTTACCTTATTTTGTATGCTGATTTCATACTGAAAACACTTTGCTTCCTCCACATGACTTGTAAGGGGTGGATGCCATGTAATTATACAACCTGCTGAATCTTTGGTACAATGGGCAGTGACATTTAATGGAGCAGTGAGTATTTCTGGGGAAAAAATGGAATAATTAATATAGGCATGGTCAGTAAACAGCTGCAACTCATGCCTTCACAGCAAAATGCACGTGAAAGTGAGGCAGCTGATACACAGCTGCATGCTGCTGGTGCTAGCTGAAGTTATCGGGTAAACAGCAGTAAAACACTTCACCAAAACTTGAGAATGTCACTGCAGTTTTTGAACATCTGAAGTAAATGAAGTTTGTGTAAAGAAAAGGTATGCAAGAGTTTGTGCAATTCAGTAGTGCATTCAGCAGAGTGCCATTTTCTTCTACGTATGTTTTCCAACTGCACATTGACAATGCGAGTTTCCATAGGAAAAAGGAAGATTTTGTATGTGGGATATCATTCATAATGCATTCAAGGCATCTGAAGTGGAGTGCCTGTGTGATACTGTTTAGTCAGTGTGACCTGATTTCTCTTGGGACTTAAACACCTAACTCACAGAGATACCCACATAATTAACTAATGCAGTCCTAATTTGGAAGCTGAACCCTGACTCTGGTTTTAGGACATGTAGCTTTTGTGGTTCAAAGAGGTGTGACATTAAGGGATGATAAAATAAGCTTTTAAGAAAGATGGCCTTGAAAATCTAACCATTGTGTTTCATTACTTGGAGTCCATGCCTAGGTCTACACCTCTTCTCTCAGCAGTTTTTTTCAGGCTGCCTCTGCCTTTGCTTGTTTTAGTCAAATTTTGAAGCTATATTCTGTCAGCTGTTGGAAGCAAAGTCTGCCTTGCAGTGCAGGATACTGCAACAGCTACAGACTTTGTTTTAATCTGCTTTCCAGAAAAAATTCCCCACTTCCTTATTTTATAAAACAGTAATAAAATAAAATGTTCAGTTACTTACCAATTTTATACAGGTCAATGTACTCATCATAGAACTGAATCAGGGAGTCTTTGCTAGACCCATTCACCAGGAAATAAGCTTTTTCAGTCCCTATGCTCACGTTTTGGAAGATACATCCCACATTTCTGCAGTTTTCATCTTTAATGTAAAGCTCACACTCCATCTCCTCTTCATCTCTGCACACAGCAAAGTATTCTAGTTAAACATGGGCACTGTGATGTGTGCAATGAGAATTCAGAACTCCCCGGACCAAAGAGACCTCCTTACCTTGACTTCTGCCAGTAGAGAAAATACTGTGTGTCTGCTGGAGCTTCCCTTCCTGCCTGCCAAGTGCAGTTCATGAGGAAAATGTTATAAATCACACAGGAGAAGTTTTCAATGGCTGACCCATTCATGCCTGCAAACACAGGAATATCCATGATGAGGAAAACTCATGTGACTCCTCCAAGCTGGAGGATCATGGCACACAGATATGTTAGATACCTGCAAGCCCAGCTAGTTATTGCTTGGGTTAGGAATGACAACTGAGAGAAAACTCTACTCTCACTCCACTTTAACTGCCTCTGGACTGTGAAACTTGTCAGTAAGTGAAGCTTTCTACATATAAAGGAATCACATTGCTTTTTAATACCATCCATGCTGCTACAGGGAAAAGTATTTCTTCTTTTGCTTTGCAATCAAGCAGGCTCCTCCTCAGATTTTTCCA